TATTTCTAGGAGATAAAATACAAAGCATCCGAACAGACAGTAAGGACTCAACAAGCAGTAGTCCTTGTTATGATTATTATCTTATAATTCTTATAACTCACATATGTTATCTCTGCCACCACATAGTAAGTTCTGGGGTGACAGGGAGTACATCTTGCATATCTTTGAATATCCCAAGGTTCTTAGCACAATGTCTTATAGAGAAAAAAAATTCTCTGTAAGAATAAATAACATTCTTAATTAGGCATTAAATAGATACTTGAAAGAAATTGTGTATATCCAAAAAATAAAGCATCAAAGCTATGCTAAATATACTATTGAGAATAATTAATGCCAGGTTTCTAGATTAGAGGTAAAATATAAAATAAAAATCTTGGGACCAGCAGTTAGCGTAATGGCTATGTCCCTGGACTCCCATGTAGTCAACCGCGGTTCAAGTCCCAGACCCGGTGGCTTAAACTCATGCCGGGCACATATGCGTGCGTGACCAAGATCCCAAGAGGAGAATAGAGGAGAAGGGATTGAGGAGTGGCAACCCCCCCAGGGGGTGATTTCTCACTTTCTGTCTCTCTGTCTCTCTGTCTTTCTGGTGAGCACACTTGCCCTGTAGCAAAAACCTCTCCAAAAAAGAAAGAAAAAGCAAGAAAGAAAAGAAAAGAAAAACCTCTACAAACTATTCTAAAAATAAACTGAATTTCTGTATAGAGAAAACGACCATTCTAGAATAATTCAGAAGTTACCATGTATGTAATATTAAACGTGCACAGCTTTAATATTGCCCTCTCAGAGACCACATAATCTAAAATAATCTATCTCTAGCACACTAAGCTGTTTTAATTCTTTGCATACCATTTCCAGACATTTTATATTTTTTCCTTTTCAGCTGACTGATAAATTGATTTATTATCAAGTTGCATGTCTCCCTCCACTAAAATGTTAGCTCAATAGGAGCAGAGATTTTTGTCCGACCTATTTCCTGTCTCTGCTCATAGAACAGAACTCTACCTTGGACATAGTAGGTAGACGAATACAGTGTTCTATTGGTATCTGTTGGGGATTTGTTCCAGGACTCCCACAGATACCAAAATCTGAAGGTGCTCAAGCCCTTATGTAAAATGGTATAGTGTTTACATGTAACTTATGCACATCCTTCCACGTACTTTAAATCACCTCTGGTCTACTTATTCCTCATACAATGTAACTGCTATGAAAATAGTTGTGCTGGGTTTTTTTTGTTTGTTGTTTTGTTTTGATTTGGTTTGGTTTGGGTGGGAGAATGCTTAGAATTATTCCTTTAATTTTATTTATTTATTTATTTATTTTGAGAGGTTTTTGCCTTAAGGCACTTGTACTTGCTGGAGAGAGAGAAAGAGAGACAGCCAGAAAGCAAGGAATAACCTCCCAGCGGCGGTCGACCACGCCACAATCCCTTCTCCTCCATTCTCTTCCCAGGATCTTGGATATGCATGTATAGGTGCCCAGTATGATTTTCAAGTCACCAGGTCCAGGATCCTAACTGTGGTTGACCATGTGGGAGTCCAATGAGGTAACCGCTATGCCATCTGCTGGTCCCAATTATTATTTTTATTTTTTAAATTTGTTCTATGGCATGTACACTTGCCAGAGAGAGAGGGAAAATGAGAAAGCAAGCCACCATGTCCAGAACCTGAATGACAGTCAGCCATGGGGGGAGTCCAGTGACTTCACCACCACTCACCTCTTGGCCCCCTGATTTGTTTTTTATTCCTACTATGTTTTTGTGTTGTATTATTTTATTTTATTTTTATTCTTCTGAATACAGTTTTGAATTCTCAGTTGGTTAAATTTAAGGATACTGAACCAGTAGATAAAAAGGGCCAACTGTAAATGCCTACTGGATAAAGGAGCATATATTTTTAAATGGTACTATGTATTATTTATGGTTGTGTAAGTAAATTTGCAAAAACATGAAAAGGACTTGAAAGTGTAAACAGGAATCTTAAAGGGAAGGGTTGAGTGGGAAAGGCTTGGCAGGTAGTGCTCAACCAGGTGGCTGGAAGGATATTTACTTGTGTCTGAATTGATTTATTTCTTTAAGGAGAAAGAAAGCAAATTGTGACAAAGTGTAAATTCTTTATTCTGGTGATGGGAACTTGAGAATCTGTTATAGTTTTGTACTTCCCTGTCCTTTATATTTCTCAAAACAAATGGGAGAGGGGAGAAGGAGTTCAACTGGAGAAAAACAAATTAACCTCTTGTAGTTTTATAGGCTCTGAAGCTCTGAAGCGCTGTTATCTACATTCGATCAACACCATTATCTTGAGGTAATTCTTAATAGCCTTATTTTAAACAGGAGGAACATGAGACCAAGACTTACCAGTGGGCTTGCATCAGGACAATCAAGTCAGAGCAATGTTTGACTGAGACTATTTGAATGTAAGATGATTTTTCTTCCATGAGATAACATCAATATCCTTAAGATATGAGCGTTAGACAAGAGGCAAAAAGAAATGAACTTTAAGGCCTGCAGGAGAGATATCTGGAAGCTTTAGGTATAAATTTATGGAGAAAAATGGGCAAATATTTTTTATATGAATGTAAAATGCACTCCAAAGGATCTTAGGCAAGCTGCTCAAACTTTTTGAGACTTTTTTTTTCTCCCATAAAAGAGGGTGATTGCTGGGACCAGCAGTTAGCATAATGGCTATGTCGCCAGACTCCCATGTAGTCGACCCCGGTTCGCGTCCCGGACCCGGTGGCTTAAAACTCACGCCGGGTGCATGTGCGTGTGCGCCCAAGATCCTGAGAGGAGAATGGAGGAGAAGGGATTGCGACATAGCCATCCCCCCTGGGGGGTGATTTCTCACTTTCTGTCTCTCTGTCTCTGTCTGTCTGGTGAGCGCTCACGCCCTAGGGCAAAAACTTCTCCAAAAAAAAAAAAAAAAGGGGGGGATTGCTTACTAAAAAAAAAAAAAAAAAGAGGGTGATTGCTTACCTTACATGGTTCTCCTGAGGATTAATTGTGTATTTTTTGTAAGATATACAGCATGATAAGTGGATAAATGCTCGTATTTGTGTAGTGTTTCTTGGTTCCTGTATATTATGTCAAATCACTGAGAAGCACATGTGTCATAAGTAAAAATGGTTAAAAAATACCCTTGTAATTTTGGGAGGTTTGTGCATCGGTTTCTGTGATTACTGCGTGAATGTAAACTCTGATACCACTATCAGCTTTATTGTCTTGAATTTACATGTGAGGGAAGAGCAGACCAGAGTTTTAATAAAATGGAATAGTCGGGGCTTGGGTTTCAGAGTCTTTTGCAAAGAGAGATAAAAGGGATTTGCAAGTATGTAAGGAGGAAAGGGAGAGTCCAATTGGCAGAGAGAGATTTGCACAATCAGGATTCAGCCATTGCAAATCAGACAGCTGCTCAATAGCTTTTGGCACCAAAATATATTGACCAGCTGGGATATTCTTAATGCCTAACAATTTTATCCTTATGACCATATCTTGGCCAATTAGGTTGTCTTTGACCACCAAAGGGTATAATATACTCTGATGTAAATACCACACGTGTGTCCATATAGCTCATATTCTATTAGTGTGATGTGTTGCATAATACACACTAAATATAAATACATCTTGCTTCTTCTGAACACCATGTTAGATGATGTGATTAAAAGAATAGAATTAAATTACAAATAGATTTTTTTAAAAATCAGTCATTACTCTGCAAAGCATGTATGTGTGTATGTATGCACACGCATGCTATAAGTAAACAACCGATATGATTAAAAGATCTTTTTAATGAATTTTTAAAGAATCATTATAGAAAAAGTAATCTGGTTGGGGAAAGGCATTTCTGCACAACATATGCGTACAAATAAATACGGGCAGAAAAGGGATTTATAAAAAGACAGTGATTGAAGGATTTAAACAAACAGCTGCTTACAGAATCAGAAGAAACCCTTGGGCCAGTGTCATAAGCCTATAAAGGCATTTCAGAAATGCTTCTAGCTAGGTAATCTCCTGATAGGGTCTTTATAATATGAGACAGGCAAAGCTGATAAGGATAAAATATAAGATATTTGCATGCTATAACATTTTTACAGAATTCTTTACACACTAGAATTTAATACATTAAAGTATTCAAGATATTTTCAGAATTTATAATTGTGGCATTTGTTAAATAAACTTAGTAACAACATTTTATACAGTTGCAAACCAGTAATCCATACCTTACTATTTCATCCAAAAATGCATGTTAATAAATGACTTTATCTATAAATTTTTTCAATTTAAATCATTTGTGGTTTACTTAACATCTACTGACGTTTCGTGGTTACTTACATTAGCATCTCTGGATTGACCTTTACACCTGGCACTGATCATGTGTTTTTCCTTCCCATAATAAAGGTTTACCTACCAATGTTTGTTACTCTATGTAAACTACTAAGAATAACATCAACATTCCTTCTTCAAAGCCAAGATCTGACATTAAGAAGTTTATATGGGGAGTATGGAAACAAAAAGGAAGCGACCAAGCAAGCTACTCCTTGTATCTGTGAAGACTTAACCATCTGATAGAAATCAAATAAAACACTACTTGAGTAGTTGAAGCTACAAGAATGAAGGATCCTTTTTAAAAACACAATAACCTTGGGACCAGCAGTTGGCATAATGGCTATGTCGCTGGACTCCCATGTAGTCGACCGTGGTTCAAGTCCCTGACCCGGTGGCTTAAACTCAAGTCAGGTGCATGTGTGTGCGAGCCCAAGATCCCGAGAGGAGAATGGAGGAGAAGGGATTGCAACATGGCCATCCCCCCTGGAGGGTGATTTCTTGCTTTCTGTCTCTGTCTTTCTGGTGAGCGCACGTGCCCTATAGCAAAAACTTCTCAAAACACACACACACACACACACACACACACACACACACACACAATAACCTCCTTTTTTCTTTTCTTTTCTTTTCTTCTTTTCTTCTTTTCTTTTTTCTTCATTTTCTTTTTTGCTAATGATTTGACAAACTATTAAAAAGGCCCAATTTTATGGTCTATTTTGTTTCTTTTCCTTTAAATAGAAGGCTTTTTAGCAAAACTCAGAGAAAAGAGATCATGGGATACTAGTAATGGAAAGGATGTAGCAATCATCTCAGTTGAGTCCTTTATTTTACATTAAAATTTTAGAAAGTTCACATTCCACATCTAGTTAGTGGCAGAGCCAAGAGTAGAGCCCAAATACGTACTGATATCCATAACTGAACCATTTTCTCTAAGTCATGCTATCTTACAACTACTTTCTAAACCACCTTTCCTTTAAAACATTGGGTCCCTTCTTAATTTTTCCAGACTGAATAATCAGCACCTCTGCTATTGTGGTTCTGCTCTTCAAAAGTCATGGTGGCATAGCTTTCTAGGATGAAACTCCTGGGATAAAAGGTTCCTGGGAATCAGCCTGTAGGGGGTGTCCATCCCCATGTTCCATCTCCACCTTGCATTGGCACTCTTCCACCAGCATCACCACCTTGACCACAGAGGCAGAGCTAGTGCAGTTCAGCTGCAAGTGCATTGTGGTGAACTTGGCAGGTGAACAGTGGGAACAGAAGGCCTGGGGGTGCTGTGCAGCTCCTGGAAAAGGAATAGACCCACATTTCCCAAAGCACAGATTGTTCTGGACAACTACTTCTTCACAGTCTTCATGGGTGACAGTCTAAAAGGCAAACACATAACCATTACATAACTCGAGTAATTTCTTTAATATACATGATGAAGAAGCTATATATAGACAACATAGACTATAAATCTGAGGATAATCTAGACTACGGTTCCCAAGGCCTTTCAATTTGAGATATATTTTGCAATATTCAAGCGATGGTATCTACAGGACTTAGAGTTACTTCAGCCAAAACTTCTTTATGGAGTAAATTATTAAATTAGCCTTTAGGGAATCTCTCAGCATGAAAATATTTTACTCTATAAATGCCAAACTTTAAGAAATTCTGTCTAATTGGATGCGACCCATAGGAAATATTTTGACTGCAGTCTTCATACACAAGTAATAAAATGTGTCTTACCTTTCTATTCTATTCTTCACAGTGCACTGTGCACAGTAGGTTCTCAGTACACATTTGTTCAATTGATCATAGAATAGGCCAGAACATTGTTTTCATTCATTATTTTTCAGGGCCTACAGTGCATTTAAATGTATGAAGTTGCATGCAGCAGAGTTGTCTCGCATATGCCTGCAAATCATGATGCATTACATCACCTTTGCTTCTCTCACAACCTCATTCACCTAGCTTTATGTGCCCTTCAAAATATATAAGCATCAAACACCTTACTTTTCATTTAATTGGCAATAGAATTCAAAATAAGAATTTCAAAGGAAATTTGACTGCCTGGTTCTTAGGAGCAATTTTCTAATTGCACATGGGCCAACAAAGCAGTCATTGTTATTTGATAATTGACTAGTCATTGTTACATATCCTCGCCTTTTCAGGCAAAATACTTCACTGCCTTGCACAGTCAATTGCCTTATAATGCTGCCTGCTTAATTGCGTAGAATTACTGGACTGTAAAATTTTACTCTATCCTGCATTGCTTTTGGTTCAATATCTTCATGTTTAAGGACCCGATGCAATTTCTCTATTTTAATTTAACATTTGGAATGTAAAGGTTGCCAGGACTGGAGGAAGTAGATAGTAAAATGTCCATTTGTCTTAATAGTGTGGAACTGATCATGATAACCACAAGAGAGTCAACACAAAAATCAGAAGAAAAGCATTTCGAAGGGGAAGAATATGATTTTACATCAAAATGATCTTTTGAAAGCTTATGAGGAAATAAGTTAAACCAAATCTTTTTTGCTATGGTACCATACCATAGAGAAATGATATGGCAACTTTTACCTGAGAAGCTCAGCACACTTTGAGGCTTAGGATAGCTTTTTAAAAGGCCAGTGGCTTTGACAAGCTATAAAGAAAGCCTTTCTTAGACCTGCATAGTAGTTAGGTGTGAAATATGGGGATTAAGACTATTATAAATAATGTGGGGGTGTTTGAGAAGGAGTCTGTGGTATCTCACCTTTTCTATAGATGGAGTCAACCTGCTCATTCACATCCTACTAGTGTGCAAAGATAGAGCTACAGAGTTCTCATAATTGCTCTAAATTCTCAGTTTCCTAGTTATGGGTACAGTTTTCTTATCAAAATAGATACCCCCAACATAAACAAAGCTCTATGTCATCCACAGGAATGATGACCAACATTGACAGTACCATTATACCATTTTTGCAGCATTTCCAGAACACCAAGAGACAATGGAAAGTTAGAAGGAAAGTTACAGACTATGGCCAAACCTTTCCAAATTTCAATGAATACCCAAAGACTAAATCTGGAGTTAGGTAAGACTCAGGCTGTTGGCAGGTACTCTCCACTCATTCCAGCTGTCCACCCTACTCCTGCAAAGCCTTATCTGCTCTCCTTACAGAACACATACCTGCCTGAAGGGCACTGTCCTACAGGTCTCCCAGTGTACTTCATGGCTTTTGATGGGCAAGATAACCCCCTGAGAAGCTGGACTCTTTCTGAACATGAAGTGGTGCCAAAACTTCTTAGCTTCTTCCCAAAGAGGATATTTTTCCCTTTTCATGCCATCCATGTGCTGAGGGACAGTCTGAGTCTCAGCGGGGGAGTGCTCAGTATCTGAGTGCCTGGGTGGACGCAGCTCTCTCTCAGGCTTCTTCCAGAACCTGCCAAATCTGGACAAGATCTTTTCTCTCTGCCTTTGGTCTTCTCCTGCAGGGCTGGTGCCTATCAGGTGTGGCACAGACACAAACAGATCTGGCTTCTCTTCGGCTTCCTCATGGCTGCCTGTGGGGAGCTCTCTGCGATTTCTTCCTAGGAGCTCAAGAGAAAGAGAACTCTGACTTTGGTGGCCATCCCGGTGCCATCCAGCCTCCCCTAGAGGCAGGAGCATCAGCAGCTGAAGTAAGAAGAGATGCATGGTCTTGGGGGCCAAGCTTTTCAGATTCATAGATGGTGAGACTCAAAGGAGAGGCTCACTCTCTGCAGGACTGTCAACCAGGAAATTCTATATATAGACACCTGCCTGGTGGGATGGGAAGGCAGGTGGTCAATAGCCAGGCAGTGTAAACACATTCATTGTTTGCTTCCATTATGTAGTGCTAATGGCGTCCTGCCTTCCCTTTGGGTTTGTATATTTTAGAAGGCCCCAGTGAAAGCCTGGGACCCAGGGGGTAATTAGCTGACAGTTTAGCTAATGTCTGAGATTTAAAGAGCAGTATTAGCAAAAACAACATGTTCTGTGCCTGGATTTTCCATCACTGTTACTATAAGAAGGACTAGGGTCAGCTAAGATTTGCTGTACATCTCCATTGTGCTGGGATAGAATAGACAAGACACAGTTTTATGAGAAGATAAAAAGGAAAAGCATACATTTGGCAAAAGCCCCAGCTTTTAGGAAATGTACACACATGACCACACGCACGCACATGCACACACACACACACACACACACACCTGACCAAGGAAGTATATTGAAATGGTAAGAAAAGGAAAGGGGGAAATGGACGTTCATTTCGTTGAGCAGGAAACTCGTTACCTGTTGACATGTGGATTGGGGTTTTAGCTTTCGTATGGCAGCAAAGGGAATACACTCTCATTTTCCACACATGGAGACTCATAATTCCCAAGTTAATCTTCTCACATTAAGAATCAATTACTGGGTGCTAAATTTCACAACTGGTCAGTCAGTCCTCAGATAAATTCTTCCAATTGTTCACATTTCTCAGCAGGATCCTCAGTAATAGACTGACAGCTCATCAGTATTCAGTGAAGATAGGGAAATGTCTCCCTCAGGCCACCTGATTGATTTTTTTCTGTCTTTAAGCAAAGAGCTAGACTTGAGAACGTGTATTCTAAGAGCCAGGTTTGATAGCTTTGGGTGTGAAGCTAGCTGGCCAAGTCCTACCTTAGTGAATCCACATCTCCCTTTATTCTACTGTAATTGATGACCAGGTTAAATAAATATTAAGACAAACATGAGTCTTCAAGGATCCAAGAAAAATTTGTTAAGTGACTGTCAGTCAAAAATATCATAAGTTAATGAAAGACATATCTAAATTGAAAGAAACCACCCAAATTGAGTCCAATTAACCCACCACGCCATTCTAACAGAATTTCCATTGGGAATCATTACAAAACTTATTTATATTTCTTCCCATTAATCATCATATTTCTTGATTTCAGTAACAAGAAACATATCTTCCTTTTTCTAGTTCTAAGCTTTCTTTCCAAGAAGAAACCCATTGGACACTTCTATATATATATATATTTAGGTTTTTGCCATAAGGCTCACCAGAGACAAAGAGAGAGACAGTGAAAGGGAAAGTGAGAATTCAACCCCCAGGTGATTGGCCACACCTCAGTCCCTTCTCTTCCATTCTCCTTTGAGGATTTTAGCCAAGCACACACATATGCCCAGCATGATTTTCAAGCCAGGACTCGAACTGCGGTCGACCGTGTGGGAGTCTAGCACCTGAACCACCACACCACCTGCTAACCCCAATAATCATGCTATTTCTAAGTGATAAAACTTCATGTAAGTCCATTTACCTATAACACTTGCTAGAAAGAGAGAGTAGAATAGAGAGAGAGAGAAGGAAAACTATGTTTAAATGGCTATCATTTTACCAGAAATCTATGAGAAGAGACCTATTTTACTTGTACTAAATGTCCATGAATCTATCTATTAGGGTACTGCTGGCCCATCCATATGAAATAAACATTAGTATTAGCCATAGCTTTTAAAGTATTATTTTTTGTCCTTATTTTTGGCTTTTTGTAAGTTGCTTTCTATTTGAATTTCTTAATTCCCTCAGTCACCCAATGCAATAGGCTTTCCAAATCTAACCATTATACTTTCTGGTTATGAATATCGTGTGGAGAGCAGCTGTGATACATTTCCTGATTCAATGTAAACCTTATTTTCAGGGATTAAATTCCATTGCTGTCAATCATTAGTATCAAGTATTTTCTAAAACTAAAAACTATCCCAAAGATTCCATCTAAGGGTCTCAGGTAGCTTGACTCTGAAATTACTGGAAACGGGATACATTTGAAATAATTTTTATGGGACTGACATTTTGTAGAAGGCAAATTTGTGAGCCAGAATATTAGATCCTGGGAGATAACGGAAATGAGTAAAACTTGATCTGTGCCCTCAAACAGATTTTACAAAAAGCCTTTTTAAAGTTCATTAAAATTGTATATTACAAAAGAACAGCACGTAAAAATTGTCCAAAAATTGGACCACCTGGTTGCATGGTGGTTAAGGCAGCTGAATCTTACATGGCTGACTGTGCAGTTTGAATCCTGGAACTAGTGGCTTGAGAAAGATACCAGGTGGATGTGCTTGCATTCATGCCCAAAATCTGAAGAGAAGAATGGAAAAGGAGAGATTGCAGCATAGCCATTCTCAAGGAGTAATTTCTCACTTTTCCTCTCTTTTTTCCTGTCTGTCTGTCTCTGGTGAGCACACATACCCTATAGTAAAAAATTTTTTAATTGTTTTTCAAAAAATTTTACACCAGAATAAACTCATACCTTAACTTTGCTTTTTCCATGAAGTTTTTGAAGTCCCCTTGTGTAGTGTGATGGTATTACATGTTTTCTAACTTTACTAATATTATCTGCGGGGGTGCTGGTTATCCATTTTTAACTTTCTTTTAGTCCTAAACTTTTGTTCCTCTGATTCCAATTTTGGTGTTTATAAATGTCATTTTAAAGTTGGAGAATTTATTTTTGCTGTTCCATCATTCCTTTTGAGAAAGCCTGCAAATGTCTTGAAGGGTCAATCTAGTAAAGTGAAGCCTTCTGTTATGAGAACTATGGAACATAAACCTGTTTCCAACTCTTGTCTTTTACAGCTAAGGGAGAGGATTTTCAGCCCTCACCTTTGTAACCTTTCATTAATTTTAAAGCCATGTATATATTATGGCATTTATAGTCTCCTCATAAGAATGTAAACATTTTACTGCTCCTAGCAAAAGCATGCTGCCTCTGTTGACCTTCAGTTGATCAAGATTTAGTTATCTCCAAGTAAGGATGAAAGAAATGGAGGAAGGTCTGAAGGAGGCCTCAAGACATATTAGGAAGCTGCTGTGAGGAGAAAGCATCACAAATTGTTGGTAAGAAAAATTTAGGTGGGTACCATTCCTTTACTATCAAGAAATCTCAGGTAGATACAAATTCCAAAGACACAGTGGACTATACACTGTGCTTGCACTAATTTTGTTTAATAAATATTTATATGCAAAAAATATGCAATAGACATTGTACTTAGTACCAAATGTCCCAATGAAAGGCCTGAGCTTGCCTGAGTGAGGTCAGACCTGCTAAGTCCACTTCCTGGGTCAACCTCAGGCGTGCATGAGAACCAGAGGTCCAGTTCAGAATCCATTCATTCCAATGTACAACTCCTGCTCAGTATGGTCTAATCCAGTTTTCGACTTGGCCTGGTATTCTTAAACACTAAAGTCTTCAGGAATCCTAAGGGACTTCATGAAGTTCTTTTATTTATGACTAAATGAAGTGCATTTCTGAATATTAAGTGGCACTTTAATAAAATGGACAAGAAAACAGAGCCACAAAACCCAACAACTCATTAGCCATGTTGAGGTTGTCTCAGTACCTTCTCAAAGCTTCTCAGTGTACTACTGTGCATTTTCTGTTCTTACAGATTCTCACAAGGAAGCTAGAAAGTCTAGTGTTCTCTGAGAGGAAACAAAGAAGCTATGTTCTTTCTTTAAAACCTCAGTCTAAAATCAGCAAAAGGTAAGAGGCAGTGTTGAGGTAGGGAATGGGCATTAGCGTTTACTAGGACAACTTGGAGATGGAAGGTGGAATTTGGGTTGGTGGATTTTGTGGGAGAAATCTGTTGGGGTGTATGTCATTGCCTCATTACTACTTCTTTTCAAAGTATAGAGTAGCAGTAATAGTTTAGATTATTCCAAAAAATTCAAAAGAAAGCAGAATCTTTTTTTTTCTTGTTTTTTCAAAGGACAAAGACAACCTAGGGTAAGTGGTTTGCCCTTAAGTCTTTTTTCTTGATCAGTAATTTAGTAAATTATTAAAAACATATTTCTATTCTACTCCCTCTTCTCTTTCTATGGAAAGGACACTTTAGGAAGATCCTCATTCCCCACTGCTGCTTCACTTACTAGGTCCATTGGTTCATTCATGCATCATATATTTGAGTGCCAGTTCTGTGTCAGATCCCAGGGATAAATGGTGAAGGGGATCCTAGTCCAGATCCAGTGTGTTTTGCAATCTAAAGGAGAGTCTAGTTTATTTAAAATAATGCGAGAAAAATTTAGGTGGGTACATCCCTTTACTATCAAGAAATCTCAGGTAGATCCAAATTCCAAAGACACAATGGACTATACACTGTGCTTGCACTAATTTTGTTTGATAAATATTTATGTGCAAAAAAATGCAATAGACATTGTGCAATTATTTTCAAGTAGATAATAAATACAAAATCAGACAATATGTAAAAATTGTTCAACGAAAAGTAGGTCTTTCCCTTACTCCAACCCAAACTGTCTTTCCCTTCCATGAAGGCAACCCCTGATATTGGCTTCTTTACTTAACCATTTTCTTAAAATTATTTAATTCCATTTGTTATTATTATTTTTTTTTTATTTGACCAGAAAGAGAGAGAAAGGGAAGGCAAGCAAGCAAGCTGCCAGGTGCAGGATTTGAACGGCAATTGGCCATGTGGGGATCCAGCACCTTTAACCACCACGCCACCTGCCAGCCCTTACTTGACCCTTTTTAAATTGTTTCCCAAAGGGACGAAAAGGTATAAGCAATAGAAAAGGATGAACATCGGGTGATTTAACAGCCTGCAAAAATTTTCCATTTCCACTTTTAGGCAATGAAGCCTCAATCAGCTCTTAAGGCTAGATTATTCTGTTTGTA